CAACATGCAATACAGTACCAACAAATAGAAACCTAGTTTGGCCACTTAAAATCTTCGTTATTATAGAAAGCCCCTCAACAAACAATTCATCAGAATTTTGTAAATAAAATTCGAGCTACTATTTTCTCATCACTTCAGCCCTCGCCAAAGCCCTTGACGCCGCACGCCGTCGAGCCGCCGTCGCCCCGTCTCCGTGAACGCCGTCGCAAGAAAAGTCATTGGCCTGCCAACCGCATATCTGTAATGTTTTCTTATATCGACAGCGTTTTAATTTTTTGTTCGAACGGGAATCTTGCCCTAATTTTGTTTCGTTCTTTTTCGGGGGTAGGTTTTGTATTATTGGGCGAAATTACGCCTATTTTTCGTGATTTTCTTCGTCAAATTCTCTACTTGATGATAATGGTGGTTATGCAAAGATTTCAATTTTCTTTTGCAGTCCTGTAAATAGTGTTCCTTATCTTATTTTGAGTTTCGATTCGGTATGATTCATGGTGATGTGAAAGAAGCATGTGTGCATCACTAAATTTGTCTTGTCTTACGAGTGGTTGGGGGTTGGCGCGAGACCAATTCTGGTAATTTTTAGTTCCTCCACTGCGTTTTTTGGCTTGTTCAATGTTGTCAGGAGAGAAATTCAAGATGTAGATTTTAGTTACATGCGTGATTGACGTTATCTGATGTTCTTGTTGCTTCCATTCAAGTACAAATTTTCTATGCAAGCTCCCTGAAAATGGAAGAGTTAATAACCATTTAGTTGGGATTAGTTGTTTCTTATTGTAGGTTATGGACTGTGGTCATTTTTTTTCGTGAAAAGATAAGAAAAAAGAAAAAAAGAAAGAGATTGGAAGAGTATTTATTTAACCAGTCTGGGTGGATTATATCATTTTTTGAGTCTAGACCTAGACAATTAGAATAGGGTATTCAATGTCAGAGATTGAAATATTGAACATCTTTGGTGAATTGAAATGTCGTTGGGATGTTAGGACTGCACGAATATGGGAATGTGTGAACTTTTGGATTAACCTAGTATAATAGATTCTAGTGAAGTATTAATCTAAAGTTAATGTCCAGAATGTATACAAAGGCATGAGTGCTATAACACACATGCTTTAGGTTTGGGATATATCTTTGGAAAAATGCTCTTTTATCTAATGCCGTTACATAACTGCGTATAGGGTATAAGAAACATTGACATCAATTTGTTGATTTTTGTTTAATTAGCTCTTGCTTTCTTATGTGTGAATCTCCCCAGGCCCTAATAAAAAACATTAAAATATGGTTTTTATGGTCGTTTAGGCATGGCCATGAAATAAATTTACTTAATTGATTGGGGTCACCTAATGTATATATGATAAGTTGTCAGCATCTCATGAGGAGCAACTTAAACAAACCCCTTTTTTAGGACATAATGACATTCCTTGCTTAATCTGTCGCTGTAAATTTAGAATTCAGTCCCATAATTACATCCAAGCAGGATTTCACCTCCATTCTGAGGATACATTTTAAGTCGAGCTAATACCTTTGATCAATTTGCATTCTGAACT